CACGGACGCGACGGCGCGCGCGAGCGACGCGCGCTCGAGCCAGGTCTTGAAGGCCATGTGGCGCCGGTGCTTGGCCCAGCGCGCGACGGTCGTCGCCGCGAGGCCGAGCGCGGCCGCGCGCGTCGCGTCGCGGACCTCGGCGCGCGCGGCGTCCGCCGCGGCGGCCGCGCGCGCGTCCGCGGCCGCGACGGCCGCCGCGTGCTCGACGTCGACGTCCGCGAGGGTCTGCTTGACGGCCTCGCCGTACTCGCGCGCCGCGTCGCTCAGCTCCGCCGCGTGGCGGTCGCGCTCGCTCCGGAGCTGGGCCTCGTGGGCGTCGACGGCGCGCGCGAACGCGGCGTCGTGCGCGGCCGCGGCGGACGCCTCGGCGCGGGCCGCGGCGTCGCGCGCGCGCGGCCGCGGCCACCGCAGCCGCCGCCTCGCGCGACGCCGCCTCGCGCGACGCGTCGTGGGCGGAGCGCTGGGCCGCGAGCGCCGCGTCGTGCGTCGCGCGGAGCGCGTCGAGCGACCGCTCGTGGCTCGCCGCGCGGCCGCGCGTCTCCGCGCGCTCGGCCTCGAGGCCGACGCGCGCCGCGTTCTCGTGGCGCGCGGCGAGCGCCGCCGCCGCGTCCTGGTGCTCGAGCTCGAGGGCCTCCTCGCGCGCGGCGAAGTCGCCGCGGAGCGCGTCCTCGCGCTCCGCGACCGCGAGCGCGACGTCCGCCGCGTGCGACTCGCGCAGCTCCTCGAGGGTCATCTCGAGCTCGCGGTCCTTCTCGCGCGACGTCTCGGCCCGCGCGTCCGCGACGGCGCGCTCGTGCAAGATCGCGCGCTCCGCCCGCTCGGCCTCGTGGACGCGCACGGCCTCGCGGAGGCTGTCGTCGTGCGCCGTGTCCTTGGCCCACAGATCCCCCGCGTGGCGGTCCTCGAGGCGCCGCTCGAGCTGGCGCCGCTCCTCGGCGGCCGCGCCGCCCAGCGCGGCCTCGCGCGCGGCCGCCGCGGCGAGGTCCGCCGCGCGCGCGTCCGAGTGGCGCCGCGCCGCCGCGGCCCGCTCGACCTCGGCGGCCGCCATGAGCTCGTCGCGCGCG